TATCCCTTTGGAATATTTGAGGCCTTGAGGATGGCACAGGACCAAGTCACCCGTTCCGTATCTCAAGGGGGCTGAAAAATGGTGCAAGAAAAAAAAGAAAACAAAAAAGGACGAAAAGCAGAGCAGACAATGTTCATGAAGAAATAGTTAAGGTATGACTACTCAGTCTGATTCTCTTTTATTAAAGCATTTAGTAAGCAGGAGCATCGTAATAAGTTAAAGAAAATAAGTGTACAGGTGTGAGTGGATAAATAATTGACAAACGGAGGTGGTTCAGAAAGAAACTGAGAGTATGGGGATATGTGTAGTTATAAAATAAAGTTGTTCAACCATTTCAGTCGATCTGTGAGTCTGATTTCTTACTGGCATTTGAATATGCCTATCGTCCTCAAAGTAGCGAACGTTAAGTGCGTACAAACAAAAAGTGTTCATTGCTCTCGAACTTTCCTGTAACTTACTAGACGATGAAAACTGTAAGGCCGGTGAAATGTCACTGGGACCTAACCAAGTCATCCGGCAGTCGGGTTACTGAATATCGAACAGTTCACCGATCCTCGTCGAGGTCGACGACAATCAATGCATGTTAATTAGTTGCACGCCGTGGACCAGCGGGCATGCGTCAGTGGTCGCCCTTTGTTTCTTGTACTCACTCGCGTCAAAATATTTCTGTGGTAACGTTTTCGGCAATGTACAGCCATTAAAGTAGTCATAGTACCTGGTACAATGAAAAGGTAGTCCACGTTAGGTAGTGATCTCGAAGTGTAACTGTGGCGTAAGCTGGGTGGTCTCGCTTGTCTCGTTCAACGCAAGTAGGCACGCAGAATATGGACACGGATAGCGTACGTTGGGGACCTTCGTTGGTAAGCTCGATTGGATCGACACAACCATCTCTCTGTTAAATTAGTTAAGAATCACGAATGTTGAAACCGTAGGCATTTGTTTACTTTTAGGTTTCAAAATTTAGTGAATATGATTACAGACTGGTATTAGCCGTTCTCATACCAATCGCGAAAGACAGTGCATTGAGAGATCGAGAAACACGTTTTCGCACAATAAACTTCTAACGATCAGTTTGTGCTACTCTACAGGAGCCAAAGTCATGGATCTATATGCTATCAAACGGAAAAACCATTTTATGTGGCTTGCTGTTAAGACGAATTCATTGAAACACAAGTTTATGGTCGTTTGCTTCTATTTTATTTTATTTTTATTCCATGCAATCAGTGAACTTTCTACTTCCAATTTCTGAATAGTACACGACTCACGTTTGTCATTCACAACTACATGTTTCGCAACTTGCTCTCCATAAAAGATTCATACAGACCATTGAACTGGACTTTCCTGAGTTTTTTCAACGGAAATTTGCAGTTAGTACAACAAATGAATTGCTAATGAAAGAGTTCGATACGAACAAATAAAGCTGTGGCATCCAGATTCCTGGAATTTCGGGCTAATAAGCTCTACGTATTGTGAATCGATAAGTTGAGAGATGATTCAGTAGTAACAATGGTGATTAAAGCCCATAAAATACCTGTACAAATTTACTTCAAGGCCTAGTTAGTGCCAGATGCTTGGTATAATCGAGGTCATTCGATAGCCGGTAGATACATTCTAAAAGAACACAAACTAATCACTTGTCAAAAGGGAACGAGTTAATTTGAACAGATAGCCGAAATTGCTTGCAACAGCTTTTGATCTAACCTACCTTTAGTTTTCCAGCTTTTCAATGAACTGGGTTTCAGAAAACTTTAAACACAAAATACCAGGTGAAAGTTATTTACTCCGTAAATAGCTCATTCCATGAATAGGTATAATCGCGGTCTAATTCGGTATTCGTACGTTTATCTTTGTTACTATAATAATAAGCCTAAACCCGAAATTGTAGATTTGTTATGATGTGACTATTTATTCCATAAGATCCTACCTGGAAGTTACATCATTGTCTATTCTGACTCGTCGTATCGTGACAATCCGCAACACGATATTTAGTACTTTTGAAGAACACATTTCGACTGGGGATAAATGACCACGCCAGCAAAGTTGGACCATGCCGCTTCTATCCACTGTTGACACGCTCATCATTGCTAGCCCTTTCTCAGCGTTGAATATAAATTTTCTCAGTTATCTCATTTTCAGCCCTAGGAATCGTGTGGTTGGAACCAATACCACTACAGGTATATTTACAAGCCTCATGTTTGGAGGACTAATATTGACTTATAAGTCTTCCTACGTTATCTTTTTACACATGACTTTGAAAGGGATCTTCGGCTTATTCGATGGCACACATATCCATTCAGCCTTTAACAGTTCTCTTTGGCATCATTTCAAAAATATGGTGTTTACTTCTGCACCTCAGAAAAATAAGAATGCTGTTGAGTGTGTTCAAACGTGGACAGCAGAATCAGTTCTCAGATCTAAATCCAAATCTCGTAATCTTTTCATTGTATGGTACAATGGACTCCAAGGCAGAATTTTAAGGCCTTATAAAATTCTTAAAGCCCGTAGGAATCCTAAGAAACACCTGCTTTAGCCTCATTACAATACAAACTTAGAGGGAAATACTTGGCACTTGAAGCACAATACTGTAAACTGGGATGCGGACAACTACTCCTTACAAGTATTCAGGTTTCGGCACTCTCCACAGGCTGGAACAGCTTTCACTTTGTAAAGTCATTCAAGAGGAAACTTGATATTTCTTCAACTACACTGATCAGAATATCACATACATATACCATTGGTACATATATATGCTACTTTTCCTTTTCTTGTTTCACATATCTAGATTTATACACACAGGAATTTTTGTTTCACTGCTGCTTAACACTTAGGCTCGTAAACCGAATGCTTCTATCCGATAGAATATGGGGTGATCTAATATTGGCTTATCGTATTCTGAACGATGACTTTGATATTATGTCTTATTTTTTCTTTTCGTCTAGGACCGATCATTTGCGAGAACATTTGAAGAAAGTTCAAGAATCGAGATAAAATCATCTACATTTGGAGTTTCTTTTCTCGCACCAATTAGTGAATTACTGAAATTCTCATAAAACACAACTATATATATTGATTAGTTAATCATTCCCACTTAGTGATATCAGCATGACCTGTACCAACACATTTCAAATGAAACTGTTCTAATTGGGTATAAAATATTGTATCGATCACCCATTTCCAGAGGTATATTACTTAATTTAGAACAACTTAAAAACAAGGTAACCAGGAGAAACGCATACATTTGGACATGGCTCATGGCATCTTCTATTGATTTATTCAAAACGAGGTTGGACCACCACGGTGTTACAAACTGCAAGGATCAATATAGATCGATAGACCTCCTACCCTTATTACTGATGACTGATTTAATTCAGTCCAGGCTGCCCAGAGACTTTAAAGATGCTGTAATAAGTTCGGTGTATGAAGCTGGGAGTAGGGATTTAGTAACTATAGACACGTTAGCTTAACTAGTGCAGTTGTAAAACTGATGGAAAAAATCATTCGGTTATTTGTTATAAACTATGTTGAAGGGCATAATCTTTTCTCCAGGGAACAACATGGTTTTTGGAGAGGCCTATCATGCTTGACAAATCTCATTGCAAGAGAATATTGGGCTGCTGCAAAAGATCAGAATATTCCTGTAGATGTGATCTTCATAGATCTAAATAAGGCCTTCGATAGGGTCTCCCATTCTGGTCTTAAATTCAAACTCGAACGCTTCGGAATTCATTATACAGTCGTAGATTGGATAAGTAACTTTCTCCATGACAGGAGACAAAGGTTAAGGGTTAATGGTGCTCTTTCCTCGTGGGTACCTGTAAAAAGTGGAGTTCCCCAAGTCACAATCCTCGGTCCTCTTCTTTTTTTACTTTATGTAAATGAATTATCAACTGTAGCAAAATCATCCGTTCTACTATTCGCTGATGACATAAAAATTTGGAGACCCATACAAAATATGTCGGGTAGAATAGTATTACAGAATGATCTTAGCTCATTAGTGGCATGGTTAGACAGGTGGTCACTTGAAGTAAATCCCAATAAGAGTGTGGTGATGCAATTAAATAACAATGATGAATCGTATTACTATACAATACGTGGATTCGTACTACCCAAAGTAAGAAACTATAAAGATTTGGGAGTCATATTAAGTAGTGATCTCAAAACCACTAGTCACTGTAAGGCTGCTGCTGCAAAAGGCTATAGGGTATTATGGTCTATTCGTAGGTCTTTTCAGTATTTAGATTATGAAATGTTTAGATTATTATGCCCGATTTACGTGCGACCACATTTAGAATATGGGATTCAAGCAGCGAGTCCTTGTTTCAAGTATGAAGCAGATATGCTAGAGCGAGTCCAACTACGAGGTACTAAGATGGTACAAGGTCTATCTGGACTATATTATGAAGACAGACTGAGACACCTCAATTTATTTCCGTTATCTTACCATCGAATACGGGGTGATCTAATATTGGCCTATCGTATACTGAACGATGACCTTCGTATTAACATGTCTTATCTTTTACTTACGTCCAGGACTAATCATTTGAGAAGATATTCGAAAAAAGTTTAAAAACCGAGATTAAATCGTTTACGTCCGGAGTTTTGTTTCTGGCACCGAGTAGTGAATTACTGGAATTCTCTACCGGAACACGTAATTTCAGCACCTTCTGTTGATACATTCAAAATGAGATTGAGCCTCCACAGTATTACAAACTGCAAGGATAAATATAGGTCAATAGACCTTCTATCCTTCTATCCTTACTGAAGACTGATTTAATCCAGATCGGAATTTGAAGGTCATACGCGCGATGTTATGAGATCATGACGGTACGTGCACGCAATGCGATAGCTCTGGATATATTTTAACATTTCGGTTTGCAGGCAATAGGCTGGGAGAGGAATCTAGTCCTTTTTCATAAGACTTCAATGTTTCTTCAGTCTTCTTTTGGGTAAAGAAATTCTGGCGGAAATCCGCTACCCCTACCAACATATTCTATGAATTGAATGCTCAGGCCATTATTGTTTATTACAGTAATATCAACAATGTATGAGGCCGTTCATGTAACAGTCTTCTGAACATCACCTCATTTCAGGAGGTGTTTTGTACCATTTACTTGTACGATGTGAAGCACTTTTTCTATCCGTTCACCAGCCGCTTATGTTACTTATTTTTTCTTTATATTCCAACTTATATGTGATTTTCTAGCCATAAGATAAATAAGCATACTTGTGTAAATGTCTTTCAATCCTGAAAACCGTACTTACGAAGCTAAACGGTCCATCCAATTTTCATGGTTTAAATCTTGTTTCGTTAATCTGAGTAACTAGGATCATTCCAATTGAATGGTAATGTCCATCGGTGGAGTTTGAGTACGTATCTACAGGAAAGTATTGCATTAAATAACGTATGAATAACACTAAGTGGTTCTTTGATTTATGTACAGAAAGACTTCAACATGCTATCGTGTTGTAGTATTTAAAAAGAGCAATTTATTCGTCATTGTTGCGATACAGAATGAGACCTTGTCAACATTAAAAACCTAACATTTTACCGAAGGTTAGTGCAAGAAGTTCGAACTCGTGATGAAAAACTACACCTTTTTGTATTATGAAGGTTTTTAATATTTTTTAACAATACAATTTAATACTTCAGTCCTGTTTGACTTCAGGGACTTCTGACAATAGTAGAATGTTAGTGAAACATTCCAGTTTAGTGTTATCATCCAATGTCCTTTAGAGTCTAGCCCCGTCACTTCTAATCCAATATTACAGCTTGTGGGCTTATGTGGTTTAAATCTCTTCATTACCAAGGTTTTTGTAGAGGGACAGGTTTGCTACTTCACAAAAAACGGCTAGGCAGCATATCGCTTTGTCTTTGGTGTCAAACAAGGGCGTTGCTTACACTACTTGTGACTGACTGGATAGAAGTGTTGAGTGATTATCGACCATCAGATTTAAGATGTATTGATGCGATATTGTTAAGGCTGTTATAAGTATCCAACAATTTGTCCTATAATACAATTACGTTCACATCGAGTGGTGTAAGTTCCAAATACTACTAGGCTCATCATGGTTACTTTTTGCCTTACTGATTCTGCTTGTTTTAACTTGCAAAATCACGCAACTACTTGAAAGATAATTTTCTAATCTACACATTCAACCGCTGTCCATCTTCGATTTTCACAGTCGAATGGAGACTAGTTTTAACAAAATGTGTGATTCGATTTCGGGTACACCACTCAACCTAATAAGTAAATTACACATTACTACTGTGTATAGCTGAATAACGTATGCCACGGTAATAGTATTTTTTTAATATGCCTGTTAAATGTAAGGTAATCTAAGTTATCATGTAAGTTAAGATTACTCATTAGTATTTTGCAAAAGTAAACCGCCATAGTAATCATTGTATTTTCTCAAATGATATACAACTCACGAAGTCAGAGTTTTCATTTATCTACACTTTGCAAGTGGTTCTTATTTCATGTTAACATCCGATTTTACTGATAAGTCGGTTTTCTTTTTACTCGTCGACTGTCAGACCAAAGTCTCGTGATTGTTTCTTGAAACTCAATATTACTTAGGTACAGTTTTACGTTTCTCTAAATACTTCGACAAACTTCATATTATGCAACCACATACACCCAGTTTATTTGCAAAGGAGTGGTATGTTATTTCATTCATTATAAAACGCAGTATCAAATTTTGCGTGTCTAAATCTTTAACTGACTCCAGTTAGATCACTTGATCTGGTTGTTTCAATTTATTAACTAAATGCAAAGAACACCATTCAGTATAACAGTAAAAGTAAATAAAGTTAATAAAAATCTAGTGATAGATAGCATAACTGACTTATCAACCGGAAATAAGTTTTTATTTTACGAAAACATCACTTACGGTAAGCTTTATTTTTATTTAAACGCAAATACTGGTACAAGGAGGCACCAAATATATATACGCTGAACATCATTCGATTTGTGTAAGAGCTGGAATATTTCCTGGGCTCTCAAACCGAAGTACGTAAGGAAATCACAAAGGATAAGCTAATTTACACAACTTGTCTTTTGATATTTATACCTTTGATTTGCTGAAAGTAACAATACCAATGTCAATTTGGTTGTAATGTTTTCACTAAAAATATTTAATCTCATAGTGCATATTTTTATGTCTTTTTTCTTTTCAGAAGGTCTATATTCTGTATGAACACGCGTTAGGATATGCACTGTTTCGAGTTAAAGTCAAGTCATTAGAAACCTCAGATACCGTTACTGCTTTACAACAGTTAGCTACAGATCTGTTAAATAATGAAGAAGAATTTATGAAATGTTTTAAATTGCATGCATTTGTGCCTTTCTCTTCCTCAGCTAGTGCTCTACAAAATTGTAATGGGATATCAGAAGGCGTTGTTCCACAGGAACTTAAAACGTTCATAGAGGAGAATTTACCTGCTTCTTCAGATGTTTTGCTGTGCATCTCAGACCGAAAACTTGCTGAATCTATTAAAGCGCCTGAAATTGGATTGCCTGAAACTATTGCATGTTCCTCTGAATCTATTCTTCATGAAGTCTATCGGGCTCTTCGATTTTACTTTCCTAAATACATCAAAGAATTTTCGCATTTCGATGAATCAAAAGCTCAAATAGGTTTGGGTCATAGTTACTCTAGAGCCAAAGTGAAATTTAATATATACAGGTTTGTTTATTTTCATCTCTTACTTATCTACTTGTTTAGAAATGACAATATGATCATTCAGTCCATAAATTTACTAGACCAATTAGATAAAGATGTGAATAACTTTTGCATGCGTGTCAAAGAATGGTTCTCTTATCATTTCCCAGAATTGTCAAAAATTGTTCCTGACAATCCCACTTTTGTTAAAATAGTCGGTCTTATTCGTACCCGAGCTGGTGCAACGGAAGAAAATCTTGAAGCGTTGGAGGCTTTAACTAATAGTCAAGTTGCTACAGATATCATTGAATCTGCTAAGTCATCCGTTGGTATGTTGACATTGTGTTTCTGATTTTGATTGCCAATAGGCTTTGATATTACGGATGATGATGCTGAGAATTTGGCAACATTCACTGAAAAAATTAACGCACTAATTGAACGTAGAAGACTAACACAAGAATATTTAGCAAAGAAGCTTGCTGGTGTTGCCCCAAACTTGAGCACAATGATTGGGGATAGAGTAAGTGCAAGGTTAATTGCTCATGCGGGATCCCTTACGAACTTGGCTAAATTCCCTGCTTCGACAATTCAGATATTGGGGGCGGAAAAAGCTTTATTCAGAGCATTAAAATCTCGTGGTGCTACACCAAAGTATGGATTGATTTATCATAGTCAATTTATCACTCGTGCTGCGCGAGAAAACAAGGGAAAGATCTCTAGATTTTTGGCTGCAAAATGTGCTATAGCCTCTCGAATCGATTGCTTTAGTGAAGTGCTTTGTGATATCTATGGGAAACATTTGAAGCAACAAATTGAGGATAGACTGAATTATTTTGAGACTGGCACTACGCCTCCTACAAATGCTGAAGCTATGGCGCGCGCAATTGCCGAGGTTAGTAAACTAGTCTTTAATTATTTATTCAACTTAGTTAACCTTACCTCCGTTAATGTAACAAACAGAGAAAGATTACTTTGAGCACGTTGATCAAGCGTTGCTCATTTGTTTACTTACTAAATTTCATAGAATATAAACTTTTAGTTTCATGCACTAATCCATAAAAAATCCTACAAATCATCAACAAAACGAAAATGTTCACATTGCTGAATAGTCCATTTTACTCGATGCGTTTCTTTTTACAGTTGCCGGAATAACTGTCCAACTCTAAAAGTTTGGTTAGCTTCTACAAAAATCGAACTTTTTTAAAGTGCAAACTGTTGAATGGTGTTCTACTTTTGTGAATTGTTGTGTTCTTTTTGTGATGACTACTCTACCACTAGTAATCTAGTATCATTAATAGATATTTCATTCTTGCAACACTTTCGTTGCATCAGGATGTCGAATTTGTCCCAATCTTCATCTACCTCATTTATTAACTGAAGGTTAGTAATTCTTTTTGGGTTTTGGTACCCATGGATTGTAATTTTGACCTTCATTGTAAAGTGAAAAGAAAGCGAAATTTATAACAATGATAGTGTTGTGTCTAACAGCTAACTTGAAGCTGTGTAACTCATAAACTGAAATACTTGATATATAAGCCGTTCTCACGTTTCTTGTTATTATTTTATTCGCTATGAATTGTGGTGAACATTTCAGATATGAGTTGTTATGCTTAACATCTCAGTAAATGTAAAGTATAGAGATGAGTGAGAGTTTGTAAAATATCTTGATAAGTTTCGCCAATTCAATAGTATTATTACTTTTCTATATTTACTTTTACGTGATCTTGTTCCTTGTTTGTTTCCATCTTGAACTGAAATTAGTACACAGGTTTTTATACTATTTTTCCACAACTTCATATTTTTTTCCGGCATCATTACAATGCCCTTTTTACTGATGAATAATTTATGGTCCATAGGGTTTAAGTTTTACTGTTGTTGAATATATCAACAATAATTTTAACTCTACTAATTCTAAAACGTTGAAAAATGGTACATTGGCCTCACATGGTCATTATATATTTAAATATCATGTTAGGGGCGGTCAAACCAAAACGTGGCATCAGTGCTTGAAGTCACTAACTTCTGGTTTGAGCCATGTTGGAAGATTCAGACTGGGTCCGCGTGACTATCGTAACCAATGGTTGGAGACTCTTGGTGACATGACTCAGAATCGATCACAATGGCGTCGGTGTATACACTCTCTGTCTTCCTTTAAGCTAAGAGATTAAAATCGCTTCATATCTTTCTTTCTACGAACTAATTCTTTCTTCCTGTACTATCTTCTTATATGCACTGTTTTTTATATATTACCACCACTGAATTAACTACTTCTATGAATCCGGTGTTCATCTTTTTGTGCTAATGCGGTATGGCAACTTGGACCGATGCATATACGTGCCTGGTCCTACGTTGCAGCTGACTGACTGACTGAAATATCATGTTCTTCGGCTAAGCAAGGGTATGTTAAGGTCAATTGAAAATTCTTATTGCTCATCTAATTGATACGTATATCAAGTGGACATAAATAAGGGCTTTCAAGTTATTCATAGAATCCCATTAAATTACCCGCCTGGTTTACGAACGCGTCTTGTAAGTATAGCTAAAGTAATCACCATCCACTTTAACAAGCCCGACTCATATGTCAATAAGAATTTTGTTAAATTTGGCTATCACAATAGCCAACATTATAGTATATTAATAATAAGTTATTACTTTCTCGTTTCCCACTATCTTTCGCAAAAATAATTTCTGTTCGCCTCCTGTTGTTGGATAACAGTAACATTTTTTAAGCCTACGTTACTGTTATTAATTTTCGCCTTCTTGTCATAAATTTGTCGATTCTCCTATATTATGCAGTTTGTTAATTCTATAACTACATATTCCAATTCATTCTTTTATTATTTAGGACGTCTATGTATTAATCACTTCAAGCCATCTTTTAATTACTGTGTTCTTTTTGAATTCAAAATACGAAATTCAGCGAAGGAATCTATTTTCAGAAAATCTGTTATAGAGTAATACTTTTGAATTTGTAATATTATCTAACAGATCATCACTTGCTCGGTATTGATTTCATTGTTATTCTTAGACGTCAGTCAGTCAGTCAGCTGCAACGTAGGACCAGGCACGTATATGCATCGGTCCAAGTTGCCATACCGCATTAGCACAACAAGATGAACACCGGATTCATAGAAGTAGTTAATTCAGTGGTGGTAATATATAGAAGAAAGATTGTGTATAAGGAGATAGTAAAGGAAGAAAGAATTAGTTCCTAGACAGATATGAAGCGATTTTAATCTCTTAATTTAAGGAAGACAGAGAGTGTATACACCGTATTCTTAGACGTATATTTGAGTTTAAAACCAGTTGTATGCTTTTTTGATATTAGTGTTGAAAAGTTTTCAGTGTTCAGATTCATATCAAGAGCGTGTTTTGGATTTAATTATTTTAAAAAGAACTCTGGTCTACTGAGGGAATTGTTTATCTATCATATAAAAGATAGTTTTCTGAAATTATTACATACACATGTACATAGTTGATAAATTATCACTCATTGCTTTTTGTATCTTTATGAAAAAAGCGATACATAGAAAATCAGGTAATATTTACTTTGTGTTTTAGTTGTTTTTATAATTCATGTTATGTGTGCATTGTAACTTGTTGTGTGGATATGCAGCTTTTTGGTGAGTTCGTTATTATCTAGACTTCATGTTGCTACCTTGACGTGGTGGTCGGGCTTGGCTATCGTGATGAAGCAACTAAGCTATACTGGCTGGAACAACCGTCCCTCAAGGTCCTACCATGCCAGACAGGTCGGTTGAAGAGCGGTAAGACTAAAAGCAACAAAACCAAGGTCCGAAGGCGAAGTCGTACTGCTGAATGTACAGAGGTGTGACAGCAGTAAGGTGTCTGATGAAATCTCAGCACGGATTCGAAAAGCTCGCTTGGCCTTTGCCAACTTACGTCATCTAGGGCGAAGGCGAAATATCCGTCTATCAATTAAGGGACGAGTATACTGCGCGGCAGTTCGTTCCGTTCTACTATACGGCTGCGAAACTTGGCCTTTAAGAGTAGAAGATATTCGTAAGTTACTAGTATTTGACCACAGATGCCTTAGAAATATTGCTGGTATCTGCTGGGATCACCGGGTAAGTAATAGTGAGGTTAGACGCAGGGTATTAGGGAATGATGGTAAATCAGTTGATGAGGTTACGAATCTTCATCGACTGAGATGGTTGGGCCACGTACTGCCTATGCCTGAACACCGATTACCACGACGCGCAATGCTAACCGGTGTTAGAGATGACTGGAAGAAAGTTAGGGGCGGCCAAAACAAAACGTGGCATCAGTGCTTGAAGTCACTAACTTCTGGTCTGAACCATGTTGGTAGATGCAGACTACCTGGTTGGGGTCCGCGTGACCATCGTAACCAATGGTTGGAGACTCTTGGTGACATGACTCAGAATCGATCACAATGGGATCGGTGTATACACTCTCTGTCTTCCTTTAAGCTAAGAGATTAAAATCGTTTCATGTCTTTCTTTCTACGAACTAATTCTATCTTCCTGTACTATCTCCTTATACACACTCTTTCTTCTATATATTACCACCACTGAATTAACTACTTCTATGAATCCGGTGTTCATCTTGTTGTGCTAATGCGGTATGGCAACTTGGACCAATGCATATACGTGCCTGGTCCTACGTTGCAGCTGACTGACCAACCTGTATCACCTGGTGGCTTAGGCAAGATGTCTGTCTGCATATTAAAAGACGACTATGCTGCTCAGCAATTCGTTCTGTTCTACTTTATTGTTGTGAAACGTAACTTTTAAAAATTGACGTGGCTCAGAATCAATGGAAGTGGTCCAGAATAGTCCAATATGTGTCTTCCATTCGATTTCAAGTTTTAAAATTATCTTATAGTTCTTATTTTTTGTCCCACGAATTCCTTCTTGAAAGATATTACCAACCACTTATACTGTTACTACTTCTTTGGCATTTGTCCTGATAATTCCATCTCTCTGTGTTGATATGGTGTGGCGGCTTAAACCGATCCATATGTTTGTTATTTCCTATTTGGCAGATATCTCGCCTACGCAACAAGTGACCTAAGTTAACACAAGCCAATTAAGCCCTCTGAATCCGTACCGAGATTTTATCAGAACTGATGAGATTTCGATTATAATTGAGGCAATCGATACGCTCAACCACTTCATTCTCGATCATTATTTCAGGCCCTGACAAAAGTCAATCCCAAAGCAATATTTTACATTTGAAAAGAGAGAACTGCATCCCAAACATGCTTATATTGTTGCTTAAAGTAGTCGTAGCACAACATTTTGTTAGCGTTTTCACCAGACTGAACTATGCCATCTGTATATTCAAAGTCAGCAATTGAATCTTCTGGTAGAAGATCAATCCGTGAAAAGTTAAACAATAAGCATGTCTATGGCCAATTTAAATGAAGGAAACGAACAATCCTGACGGACACCACTTGAATTAACCAATTCTGATGACAGTAACTGAGGTGTGGCTGATGAAAGGCAGTTGAACTGTTCCCTAAAAAGTTCTCCCCCTCATTTCAATCTTTTGGATTGAGAGTGAATAATAGTCCCATCTTTTTACCGAGATAGTTCGACTAACAGCCGGATTTTTATTACCCCTTTCCTTGATAAGTCAGAACAGTTGTCTACTGCTACCTATCGCTTCTACCTTTTCCATCTCCTCTGCTTTCGTTACCCACCACTGCTCACAATCATTGTGTAGGTTTTTTATTAGCCTTCGTTTAGGCTGTCTCCACTTCTCATTGCACTTAGAGCCAAAAGGGATACGTTTCTTGGCACCTATCAGTTCAGTGGATGCCCCTCGTACAGAATGTCTTAAAATGTACTGAAGAGAAGAAAAAATTAAATCATTAAAACTTCTTAGGTCATAGTTGTTGTGTTTTCGCTTTCACTACAAGACCTGGATTTACTGACTTTTTTCCGTACATTTATCATGTTATGAACTGGCACCACTTGAATTGTCATTTCTCCAAATCCATCAGAAAACCAGAGTAGGGTGGTCACTAGTATCTTCATCGTAGGCTCACACTTCTGAGTAGTCTCATGTTGGGACGAAACAACCGTCCATTATTTATTGGTTTTCAACGGTTTTCCAAATGAGATCAATCTGTGACAAATACAACCTACAAATCAAATCACTCTCCACAAGACTCCTTAAAGTAAGCAATAGTGATTCTATGCTCATTAATGACTACCTTTATAAAGAGCTCCCTAAAGTTATAGCGAGAATTAACGACGGTGGAGTTATACTACATAAGAAGTGTAAGACAGCTATCATCAATGAACTGGCATGATAGTCACATTCTGTAAATAACTGGTTCAAGCTGAAATTGTGTGAACCTCGGTGGTGTTCTAAATCAAAGGTCTATAAGCATCATGCTCATTGCGGAACTCGGAGATTCTGGGTTACGGGAAATGTTCTCTCATTGACTTAATGAACGTTAATATCAACGTTCCAACATTACTGCATAATCTTGATTTTAATAATCATTGTCTATCAATATTAATGTATAGGATCTGATGTTCAATAGTGCTTTGTTGTAAATTTTGTATTCTATGCTTAAAATGATTCAATCCTATCCACTTTTTCCTTTGAATGTTTTTATCAAGGTAAATAAATATATTCAACGAACAAAGAAAAAAGCAATTAAAACACTGAATAAAAGAGATTCAGATAGTCAAGAAGAAGCAACTGTAACAACAACAACAACGACAACAATCGAAACACCTATATTAGATAGTAAAAAGAAACGTAAGAAAAAACGTAATTTAATAAATGGGAACATCACCACCACTACTACTACTACTATTGTAGATGGTGTTTCTAATGATCAGAATGAAGTGATGAATCATGATGAAAGAGAATTAGATCAACAACAACAGCAACAAACAACTGACATATCAACTAAATATCAACTATTAAATGATGATAACAAAGAAGAGAAAAGTACCATAGTAAAGAAAAAGAAAAAACGTCATCATTCAGAATCAATTAATATTGTTGATGAAAATTCAATGTTAACAAATGGTAATAATATTTGTATAGAAACAATAGAAACACCAATATTATGTAAAAGAAAACGATCAGCTTCTGAATCAAGTATACTTTTAGAGGATATGAAATTGGATAGTTTAAAAAAGAAAAAAAGAAAAAAACATCAAATGATGTTATTGGATTAATTTACTTATTAACTGTGTAAAAGACGATCAATTCAATTTTTGACCATTTATTGTAAATAATAACATGATTGGTTATTTTTGTTGTGGAATACAAAATGTATTATGAATCTCCTATTGTTCTATTTTTTTGTTTTTTTTATTTTAAGACATAGATATTGGTGCAAGGAGGTACCAAATAGATATGCACCACACAAATCTCATTTGATGTGTGTGAGGGCTATGATACTGCCCGGGTGCCCAAACCAAAGCAGGTGGTTTTCTTAGGTGGCCACGCCCTGAGCCTTCGACCTGAAGATCTGATCCACAAGGAAGTGGAGCATCGTAAGGAGATGCAGTCCCATGGTAGCCGGTGACCAATTATTGGTTCGTACACCATTTGTTCCTTCAGGATACTGGAGCCAATCCATGTGCAACATTGATTTGGGATCCGGTTAAAGTGCCGGATATTCGATTTTCGTCCTCTCATTTTCGTAAACAACACCCGTGGTGCGAGAAGGCAATGAGTAGGACTTCCCTGGCAGAGGCTATATACGCGTGGCCATGTGGGAGCATTTCGAGAGGAAGAGCGAACTCTCCCCACTCTCAGCCATACCAGGGCATTTGGGGGCCGTATTGTTCTATCTCTAAGTTGATTACGTAATAATAATAATAATGCACTTGGATATCTGTTACATTCTACCATACATCTGTCTTTCAGTAGTCCTAATGAACGTCGGATGTGGTACAAATATATATGCTAACCTACAAGTTACTATAATTTACTAACTAATTGCCTCCAAATGTCCTGATACGGCCGAGAGTGGGGAGAGTCAGCTTTCCCTCTTGAAATACTCTTACATGGCCACGTGCATACGACCACTGCCAGGGAGGTCCTACTCACTCCCTTCTCATGGCGGGGGTACTGTTTACGAAATTATGTGGACGAAAAGCAAATGTCCAGTGCTTTAATCGAGTTAGTGGATACGGAGAGTCCACTTAGGGCAGTTGGAAAACCCTGGTTCAAAACCAATGGTGCACATGGACTCCAGGAATCAGAATCAACAAAAGGCGTATGAACCAGTCGTTGGTCACCGGGTACAATGGAACTACATCTCCTAACGTTGCTCCACTGCATTGTGGATCAAACATTTAGGTCGAAGGCTTCGAGTGTGACACTAAGTAAACCAACTGTTTCGGTCTGGACATCCGGGCTGTATCACAGCCCACACACACAAGTCGAATGACATGTGTGGCGCATATCAATTTGGTGCCTCCTTGTATCAATGTTTATGTGTTTAAATAAATATTTAAATTGGAAAAACGAGACGAAATCAATAAAATGAGTCGAAATAATCTCATAATAACAATAATAATTAGAAAGTTTAAACATTAATATTATAGTTTAAGAAGACGAAGTGAAAAGAATGTATGTATGAAGGAATATTGATGTTAAAGAAACTAGAAGAGAAATAAAGAGAGAATGTATATGTACTATCGTGACCAGTTGCGAGCGATATCACTCAATATCTGCAATCAATGATTTCAGTAATTATGAGGATCTATAAACCTTCCTTAGGTTAGCAGCAGCATGTAACAATCCAATCACAATTGACGGAGAAGCTTTGGAAGATGTAAAAACCTTTACATATTTGGGCAGCATCATCGATGAACACGGTGGATCTGATGCAGATGTGAAGGCGTGGATTGGCAAAGCAAGAGCAGCATATTTACAACTGAAGAATATCTGGAACTCAAAACAATTGACAACCAACACCAAAGTTAGAATTTTCAATACAAATGTCAAGACATTTCTACTGTATGTGGCGGAAACCTGGAAAACTACGAAATCCATCATCCAAAAGATACAGGTGTTTATTAACAGTTGTCTACGCAAAATACTTCGGATCCGTTGGTCAGACACTATAAGCAACAACCTACTGTGGGAGAGGACAAATCAGATCCCAGTGGAGGAAGAAATCAGGAAGAAGCGCTGGAAGTGGATAGGACACACATTGAGGAAAGCACCTAATTGCGTGCATCACAAGACAAGCCCTCACATGGAATCCTCAAGGTCGAAGGAGGAGAGGAAGACCAAAGAATACATTACGCCGAGAAATGGAGATAGATATGAGAAAAATGAACAAGAATTGGATGGAACTAGAAAAGAAGGCCCAGGACAGAGTGGGTTGGAGAATGCTGGTCGGCGGCCTATGCTCGATTGGGAGTAACAGGCGTAAGTAAGTAAGTAAGGTTAGCAGTTTACCTGTATCACTGCTTAGTAAAATACAAATAGGATATGAAGTTGTGAATTTAGTTAATAGTGACTGAACTAACCAATACCAATTGTCATTTTTGGAAATAATTGACTTCGACTCAATTCAATTTGAAGTAATTTGTTACAATCTAGTTGTGTTTTTTTTATAAACAGAAATTTAAGACTAACCGACTATATTTTTAAAGACTGATCTGATACAACGATACTATTAGGTTACTGTTATATATTGTTACCGTATTAATATATAACGTAATGATACCGCCAATTAGAGAACAGTGATTTATCGATCGGACCAATAACGCGTAAACACGTACGATTAGTCTACAGTCTCTATCGATTCTTCCTGCCTGTTAAGATCCAGAACACCAATCTCAGCCTTCGCAATATGAATCATGTATTTCAAACATACTGGATTTATATACAAACCAAACAGACCACATCGTACCATAATTAACTTATCTGTGAAGTCTACGTAAAGTACATAAACCAAACATACCTATCATCAAATAATTTTTCTACAAGTTCATCCGCTGGTTGAAATTTTTTAGAATCACTTCGCAATTGACTAGTTCCTTCCAGTCTGAAGGATAGTCTAGGATTTGCACAAAATCTTGACAATTAAAAATTTTCTGATAGATTTATAGTGCCATTTGATGTTTCATAAAAATTTCTTTTCTTACAGACTAATACAATTACAGTGTCTGAAGGGGTTTTGTGGAGATTGTAGTAATTTCAATAGCTGAGATCATGAGTCAATTGAAGCTAGACCATCATGGAAAACCTGGGAGCACTGGAAGGCCGTTTCATCCTATTGTGGGACTCCTCAACAGTTCGCATTCACAACCCCGCCACCTCGCGGGATTCAAACCCAGGACCTATCAGTCTCGCACCAGGCGCTTAATCAACTAGACCACAGTGTTAATGTCTAACTTCAACTAATCCACGAAATTGAGTGACACATCCACCATTGTCATCAGTGAGTTACAATCTCACAACTGACCCGGTTGAACTCCACTGGTCAATTGTAGTAATTTATTTCTCAATATCCGCCAGAAACATTTGGGCAATGAGTAACATAAACTCGTTTTTTATTTCAGGCCCATGAAAGATACGTTGTTTTAGCACATTGCTGACCACTTAACAAGGTTGAGTACTTTCAGAGATTTCTCCCTTCAGATTTTAGGTTTTTACAGTAGTTGTTGTATTCTATGGGGTGGATGGTTGAATTGTGAAGCTTTTGTTGTAGTTCTGGACGAAATCGTCTGATTTTATGATTTCCGTGAAAACGTTGTGTATCAAACATTCTTGAAAAAATATTGAAATATATCTTCTGTCGCTTGAATTTAAACGATGCGATAAACCTTCAGGCATTTAGACTGATAGACTTAAATCCTTTTATACATGTACGTATGGTTATTATATAAGTTGTCAATTCTTGCATAGCCATACATTAATGTCTGTCGGTTTAGGAAGTTTTTCGTAAATGACAGTTAGGCTACTCATAAGTAGCAAAATGTTCATGACGAATGTTTTATAAACTCTTTGTCTAGCATTCAATATCTAGGAGACAGTGCAGATTGAATTATGGAGGATAGTCGCTTAGTTTAGTGAATTGATTGAATTCGGATGTGTAAATCACTGGATTCTGGTCCAGAGGTTGAGTACTTACCCAAGAAACAGAATGCTTGGGGTCCGATTCGTGTATGCGTACTACTAGAGAGTCCTATATTAGGGTGAAACAGCTGTCCAGTGATCCATGGTTTTTAATGGTTACCTAACTAAGATCAATGATTGATGTAATCTATAATTAATTTGTCGTTGATGTCCAGTAGTGCATGTATTTAAGTTACTAAATACAGTAGAAGCTGATGACATTAATAATGACCTCTTATATAGTCAGATAATACACATTAACACAAAAAAAATGGTTAATTAAGAAACACAATATATTGTTAGAATAGCATAGAACACTTGATTGTACGCAAAGATGAAAGAGTGTAAGACCGATAACCCTTGGTGTTCAGCGGGTTGATAAATCATCTTACATTTACTGAACGAAATGACATAAGTGATTCACTGTGTTTATCCAGCTAGTGAAGTTCATTTAAATTATCTAAGTCCGTGTTGATTATCTACTGCACTATTTATTTCAAGAGAATTATTTTTCTCACTGTCTAAATGAGTTTGTGAGAACCCTTAGATTTTGCCAACCAGAACACTTTTTTCCTATATTTGGTTTCTCCATGTGGAAGGTATTTGATGCTTATCTATGTTCAATCACTTGTTTCTAAAGTGCTCCTTAAATATAAGGGAGGACACCATTTAAATCGTGTCTATGTCTGAATGTGCTAATGATATTTCACTTGGCGTCAAAATCATGAAGGATCAGCTTCGTTACTTGTGACATATTTTACGAATATCGAATCAGAGGGTTCCATACCACCCTATCACCAGAATATCCTAGTTAAGAAAATTTGAGGACATGGTGCCATGAGATGAAAGATGAATGTGTAAGAAGAGTATCTGTTGATTTATCAAGATTACTCGATTGAGGTAACAGAGATCATGCAATTTAATGGGTTGAGATATTTTCACACATGGCTCAAAATAGAAGATAATGCCAACCCTTCTGTAAATAAATAAAACAGCCTATTTTAATTCAAAGAAACCTTGATTATCTCCTTAACTGAAGTATTTCCTTTAATCTGTACTACTCCTGTCTATAAATCTATCGGTTACATGACATTACTGCCCTTTTATTTTGCAATATGACCATTTCAACTTGTATGGAGCAGTTTTTCGAGTTAGTGTGAGATCTTTTATGCCTTATATGTAAAAATAACAAATTTACCTTTTGTTATAACTTATGGCCTTTGTTCTCCTATCAATATATATATATAATGATACCGCCAATTAGAGAACATTGATTTAGCGACCGGATCAATGACGACGCATAAAACAAGTACTAGCAGTCTAGAGTCTCTATAGGTCCTTCTTCCTGTCTAGCCCTGTCTATTGAGTTCAGTACACCAATCTCAGCCTCTACGATATGAATCATGTATTTCAAACATACTGGATTTATATACAAACCAAACAGACCAC